TCTCTCATGTCCCCGCATGGGGAGCTGGAGCTGACAGAGGGAGCTCAACCCACTCTCCCTGGATTTGGACCGCTTTTGTCATCATGTCAGGAGTGACTTGAGAAACTGCAAGTCGCTTCTGGTGTGAGAGAATTGGCCATCTGCAAGGACGCTGCCCAGGGGACGCCAGGATGTTTTGATCTTTTACCATCCTTGTGGGAGGCTTCTCTCATGTCCCGCATGAGGAGCTGGAGCTGACAAAGGGAGCTCAACCCGCTCTCCCTGGATTTGGACCGCTTTTTTTTGTCGTGTCAGCAGCGACTTGAGAAATTGCAAGTCGCTTCTGGTGTGAGAGAATTGGCCGTCTGCAAGGACGCTGCCAAGGGGACACCAGGATGTTTTGATCTTTTATCATCCTTGTGGGAGGCTTCCCTCATGTCCCCACATGAGGAGCTGGAGCTGACAGAGGGAGCTCATCCGCACTCTCCCCGGGTTCAAACCTGCGACCTGTCAGTCTTCAGTCCTGCCGGCACAGGGGTTTAATCCACTGCGCCACTGGGGTTGTCTTGTCCTTGATTAATGAGGACTAACTCTTGGATGGCCACTGCCTCGGTTTATTTACACACCAAGTTCATGCCCTTAAAATTAGTTGGCAGATCACATACACGCAGATGTTTGACGTTTTACCATCCTTGTGGGAGGCTTCTCTCATGTCCCCACATGGGAAGCTGGAGCTGACAGAGGGAGCTCAACCCACTCTTCTTGGATTTGGACCGCTGACCTGTCAGTCCGTGGTCCTGTTGGTCAGTGGTCCTGTCAGCACCCATTTCACCACCGGGGGCTTCTGTTCACTTTTTATTTCAATGCTTTGGGAGAAATATCATTTGGCAGTTACATAGATAGCATTGACTTGGTAAGGCATGTGCAAAGCCTGAAAATTTTGCTCGCTGCAGAATGTAAATGTACTCCATCTGCTGGATAGATTGTAAGCTGTACCAAAACTAGGAAGAGGAGATATGATAGCCATGTATAAATATGTGAGAGGAAGCCACAGGGAGAAGGGTGCAAGCTAGTTTTCTGCTTCCCTGGAGACTAGGATGCAAGGGAACAATGGCTTCAAACTACAAGAGAGGAGATTCCATCTGAACATGAGGAAGAACTTCCTGACTGTGAGAGCCGTTCAGCAGTGGAACTCTCTGCCCCGGAGTGTGGTGGAGGCTCCTTCCTTGGAAGCTTTTAAACAGAGGCTGGATGGCCATCTGTCAGGGGTGATTTGAATGCAATATCCTGCTTCTTGGCAGAATGGGGTTGGACTGGATGGCCCAGGAGGTCTCTTCCAACTCTTTGATTCTATGATTCTGTGCCTCACACAAAATAGTTGACTAGCAAGCTTACTCATGGAAGAGGGTCTAATTACTGTCCAAACGCTAGTGGCAAATAAATGTAGATGGTTTAGACCACATGGTAGCCTTGGAGAGACGTGGCATCGGCACTCTTTGTAACATAGTTAGTGAAGTTGCCACTGCCCTTGAGGAGTGTCCCCTGACTGTTTTAGGTAAGGGCTTTTTAATCCATGAGTATGCCAGGTGAATGGTGTGTACGACGCAATTTGGAAAATGTTGGAATGAAATCAGTGAAGTCTTCCTCAGATCACTATAGCAGATGATGAGAAGACTTATGGGAAGGTTTGGTATGATCTAGGTAGAATGACAACGTCATGCACACATATAGAGAACTTCTAACGGGGTGCAGTATTTTGATGTAATATTCTGGTTGAATTACAAAGAAGGAGACAAACTCTGGCAAAAAGGAAGCCACAGGGAGAAGGGTGCAAGCTAGTTTTCTGCTTCCCTGGAGACTAGGACGCAAGGGAACAATGGCTTCAAACTACAAGAGAGGAGATTCCATCTGAACATGAGGAAGAACTTCCTGACTGTGAGAGCCGTTCAGCAGTGGAACTCTCTGCCCCGGAGTGTGGTGGAGGCTCCTTCCTTGGAAGCTTTTAAACAGAGGCTGGATGGCCATCTGTCAGGGGTTATTTGAATGCAATATTCTTGCTTCTTGGCAGAATGGGGTTGGACTGGATGGCCCATGAGGTCTCTTCCAACTCTTTGATTCTATGATTCTATGATTCTACACTGTGGAGTAAGTAGTAATAGCAGCATTACGCTTTTATCTCTATTGAGACACAAAGCAGACCACAACATTGAAGAACAGTGCAATTAAAAATCCAAATATGCAAATATAGTGTTTATATGCTTTATTATTTGTATCACATTTAACATTGTTCACTACTTTGAGTCTCTTTGAGGAGAAACAAAGCAGTGTAGAACAACAACAGCAGTAATGAAATGGAATTAAAGAAACAACTCAATTAAAATCTCCCAAAACACTTATAAACTGTATTGTCGAAGGCTTTCATGGCTGGAATCACTGGGTTGTTGTAGGTTTTTTTCGGGCTATATGGCCATGTTCTAGAGGCATTCTCTCCTGACGTTTCACCTGCATCTATGGCAAGCATCCTTAGAGGTAGTGTGAGGTCTCCTCACTACCTCTGAGGATGCTTGCCATAGATGCAGGCGAAACGTCAGGAGAGAATGCCTCTAGAACATGGCCATATAGCCTGAAAAAGCCTACAACAACCCACTTATAAACTGTTAAAACCATCAAATACCCCACAGTACTCCAAATTAATGCAGTTTGACACCCTCTCAACCACCCTGGATTGTTACTGAGCCACGGCACACTGCCCCTCACCCCAAAGATTTATAGAATGTCAAAACACTCCACAAAATATATGTGCTTTTTTTCCTTTATTTTCAAAATATTTGCCATGGCTCCAGAGTTGCAAAAGGTCAAAATGCTGGAGGCTCTGGAATGGAACTAGCAGCAGCTCTACCCTACAACTACAAAATCTGACCTTTCTGTAAACTGATAAACTGGAGATTTTATGTGTAACTTGTATTTTTTATGTACTAAAAGTATGAACTGCATTAAATGAAATATATCAACATGTATCTAGGAGGCAGCTACCTTTCTATGCCCTATGTTTTACATAATCCCATGGAAAAGAAAATTTCAGCCAGGGTTCCTCCAGCTATTTCCCAGGCCAAATACAAATCAAATTATGTATGTATGCAGACAGATGATCCTCTTTGTTATCAGAATAAACCTGGGAGTTTTGTTCATTCAAATTGAGGCTGAGAGTCTGCTGCTCCCATGGAAAAGGGGACTCAGCAAAGAGGAATACATTACCTCTCTATACGGGCAGCCAATTACCACCTTTGTCTTTTGGGTCTTGCACCTTTGTTTCACATGGAACTGGACACTTGAGTTAATCAGGGACCCATCAGCATATCCATATCACCATTTCCTCCTGGACTGTGCCCTCCAAGAGGTATCTCTGCAACGGATTGGCCCTTTAAACCATGCAACAGCTAGCTGTCTTCCTTCCTGCTACAGGAATCTCCTTTTGCAGGCTGTGATGTCAGGGGAACCCCAGGCCAAACCAGGTGCGGATCTCAGCCTGCTTCTTTTTCAACCCATCGGGGAGGGAGTGGAAAGTCTGAATAGCTGTCAGAACTGTACAATATGTTATGCATTATTCTGTGAGTTTATGCTTGTACCTTTTGAAGTGTATTGCTTGTACTTGCATCCTTCTTGGCCAAATTGTAATAAACCTCTGTGGCTTACCTTCAACCCAGAGAGCATGTTCTCTGTCCTGGCTGATCTGGTTTCGTGGATGCTCGCCAGGCACGGGCCTAGACAACTGTGGTCCTAGCTGAAATCACTACTCCTGTGGAATCATTGGAGTTGTAGTGTTACAAATTTCTTTTACTTTTTCTGCCAAAGAGTGCTAGTATTTCACCAAACTACAACTCCTATAATTCCATAGTACTGAGTCATGGCAGTGAATGTTGTGTCAAACTGCATTAGTTGTAAACTGTAGATGCTGTAATGATTTCTTTCTACTGTTAATCTGTCCCTTTCTACTTCTATATATGCATAACATCTTAGGTTTTGCCTTTGGAAAAGCACTCTGTGGTTTGTTTTCTTTAAACAAAGGTGTGTCTATACCAGGTATGGGCAAACCCAGGCCCGGGGCCCGAATTTGGCCCCTTGGGCTCTTTTCTCAGGCCCTCCTCTCTCTCTCCACCCTATCCTTCCTTCATTCTCTCTTTCCTTCCTCCTTCCCTCCCTCCGTTCCTAACCTCCCTCTTTCTCCCTCTCTCCTTCCTTCCCTTTCACCATTTCATCCTTCCTTCCTCCAT